CCGGCAGAAGAAGCTGCCGCAGCTCTTCGAGAGGGCCTCTTCCAAGTGGTGGAACCCCAAGTTCGACTCCAACAACCTGGAGGAGGCTTGCATGGAGAGGTGCTTCCCGCAGACCCAGCGCAGGTTCCGTTATGCCCTCTTCTACATTGGCGTTGCCTGCCTCCTTTGGGGCATCTACTTCGGCGTGCACATGAGAGAGAAACAGATCGTTTTCATGGTGCCGGCTCTGTGCTTCCTTTTGGTATGTGTAGCTTTTTTTGTGTTCACTTTCACTAAGACTTACGCCCGCCATTACGTATGGACTTCTCTGGTACTCATCCTCCTGGTTTTCGCTCTGACACTGGCTCCGCAGTTCCAGGCTCTGAAGCCTATCTCAGGAAGTGGTGACATGTCCAACCAGACTGCCCCGGCAGATCCCACAGACACTTGTCTTTCTCAAGTAGGCAGTTTTTCTATGTGTATCGAAGTGCTCTTGTTGCTTTACACGGTGATGCACTTACCCTTGTATTTAAGCTTGTTTCTGGGGCTGTCGTACTCGGTCCTCTTCGAGAGCTTTGGTTATCACTTCCGTGACGAGACCTGTTTCACGCCGCCCGGAGCCGGGGCGGTTTACTGGGAGCTGCTGAGTAAAGCCTTCCTGCACATCTGCATCCACGCCATCGGGATCCATTTATTTATCATGTCCGAAGTCAGATCGAGAAGCACATTCCTGAAAGTGGGGCAGTCCATCATGCATGGAAAAGACTTGGAAGTGGAAAAAGCCCTGAAAGAGAGGATGATTCATTCTGTTATGCCAAGAATAATAGCCGATGACTTAATGAAGCAGGGGGATGATGAAAGTGAAAACTCCATCAAACGTCATTCCACCTCCAGCCCCAAAAACAGGAAGAAGAAGCCCTCCATCCAGAAAACCCCCATCATATTCCGTCCTTTTAAAATGCAGCAGATCGAGCAAGTGAGCATTTTGTTCGCGGATATCGTTGGCTTCACCAAAATGAGCGCCAATAAATCTGCCCACGCTCTGGTGGGGCTCCTGAACGACCTCTTCGGGCGCTTCGACCGCCTGTGCGAGGACACCAAATGCGAGAAGATCAGCACTTTGGGGGACTGCTACTACTGCGTGGCCGGCTGCCCGGAGCCCCGCGCGGACCACGCTTACTGCTGCATCGAGATGGGCTTGGGCATGATTAAAGCCATCGAGCAGTTTTGCCAAGAGAAGAAAGAAATGGTGAACATGAGAGTCGGCGTTCACACCGGGACGGTCCTGTGTGGCATTTTGGGAATGAGGAGATTCAAGTTCGATGTGTGGTCCAACGATGTCAATTTGGCCAATCTGATGGAGCAGCTCGGGGTGGCTGGAAAAGTCCATATTTCGGAAGCTACCGCCAAGTATTTGGACGACCGTTACGAAATGGAGGATGGGAAGGTGATTGAGCGGGTCGGTCAGAGTGTGGTAGCCGACCAGTTAAAAGGTACGTGCTTTTGGTTTTGTGCCTGGTATTTTGTTTTTCCTCTTAAGAGGGAATATTTTTTCCTTAGTGTGTGTTCTGTGCTTGCTGACTCGCAGACTGAGCGTGTTCTACACGTAACTGGTGATCAGAAACATCATGGGAATTAGGGAATAAAAGATGCCGTGGAGATAAGTGTGAAAGTTCATCTGGGGTAGTCAAAATGTACTCAGACTTCAAAACACCTTTAGTGCTCCTTGACAGAGGATCACATCGTAGGGAGGAGAAAGTTAATGTTTTCCCTGACTGCAGGAGGTTTTTGTTTTACTGTTGTGTGTCATCCTTTAATTCAGTGAGTAAACTTGTTAATTGACTTTGTGTGCCATACAGAGAGCATATGTGTTTGGCAAAATTATGTATATCTGTGAAAAGCTTTTTTTGGCATTGGGAGAGTTGGGACTGCGAAGGCACTTGGGAAAAGTGACAGCTGGATTCACAGAAAGAAGCGAGTGCTGTAGATTTGGCAGTTTGATATAGAAAGTTGTTGTTACAATTTGAAGTTAGGCTGGAAAAAGTTACTCAGGTGGTTCCATGAGCTGGCAGATACTCTCCTTCCTGCAGCCCGAAGGGTTTGGGGATGAAGCTGCAAATTTGCCTTTCGGAAAAGAACATGAAGGATCCTTCAGTTCAAATTCTGGCTTGGCTAAGGGTCCGATTTTCATTTTTCTACAGAATAGTCAGTTGGGAATGAACCCCTTGGCTGCTTCCTGGCAGCACGTAGGAGCGCGTGGAGGAGGACTGTACACGCTGAGGGTTTAATTGTCTCTTAGTAAAAGCTGCGTCCCCTCAGCGCTGCGCCGTTGTCTGGCAGAGGTATGGTTGTCCCCAGCGCTTGTGGCCCAGGGCGGGGCCCAAACAACTCAAAAATGGGAGAGGAATCTGTTGCAAACCCTTTTAGGCTACGTGTGTTTATTCGTTCTGTTTATAAATATACTTGTTTTTATAAAGTAAGCGTGGAAAACGGAGCGGAAGAAGCGGGAGCCGTAGGACAGCGCGGTGGCAGAGGAAGGAGAAATTTGTTGCAACAAATACAAAGCGAGGCCGGGGTGGTTGTGGAAAGGTCAGTGTGTAAGGGCAGGGGGGAGCGTGTTGCAAAACAGGGGTGGCAGCAGCAGTGGCAGGCCACTCGCCTGTGGCAGGTGCTTATTTTGGTGTGACACAAATACTTATTTTTGGTAAGCTCGCTGCCCGCGTGCGTACGGCAGCGGGGCTGACGAGAGGCTTACGGGCAGGAAAAGTGCCCACGGTGACATCGGGGGCTGGGAGCTGCAGAACTGAAGCAGATGGGTCCCTGGGCTTGGGCTTTCTGTTTAGCTTCGAAAATACAAATTCAGTGTGTTTATTTGAGAGCTGTCGACTCTCCTGTGTTTTAATGGGAGTGTGTTTTCGAGAGGAAAAAAGGATCAGGCATAATCTTTCTGTAGCTCTAAGCTGAATCTTGTGCTGGTGAAAATGAATAGGCAAAGAAGCAACCCTGCAGTGTTCCCTCTCCCATCTGCCTTTACAGCCAGGTGCAGTGTGAAGGCTGTGTTGTAGCAACAAATAAAATTAAGTATTTTTGCTAAATTTACAACTGTACTCGACCTCATTAGTCGCAAAGTGACGTGAACTTGCTTGTGGAGACTGATGGTACTGCTCTTACATATTTTTATTTATTTGTTGCTGTGTTTTCAGAGCTCACAAGCTCCATGTAGAGCAGCTGTACCCCAGGCCAGAGTGGTGTTTTCGTGGTCTTTCTCAGGCTTCTGTTCCACCCTTGGCTACATTTTTTGCGAGAGGGCATAGCCTGCTGTGTCTCATGGGTACAGAGGTGCAGAGTTTGCAGCTTGGAATGCCTGTCTCAGGTCCTGCTTTAGCCAGGGTGCTGCAGTTGAACAAACTGAAATGCAGCCTGGATAAGGTGAAGCGTGGTCTGTGGATTGACATTTTAACAGTCTCCTCTTACCCTGAAACCTAGCTAGGAAAGCAGCTGCAGCATGTGGGAAGAATTACTTGAATGAGGAATATGGGCTGGGTTGGTTTTTCCTTCCTTTCCCTTCTGCATTTTGCTGTGGAACTGTAATTTGCTTCCATGTCTTATCAATGTCTTCTGTAGTTAAAGACATCAGAGTCTGTGTCTCCTTCTAAACCAGACAGACCTCTGCCTTGACCACCTTTACCCACAGGTCTGTGGCACCCACAGTCCCTTTTCCTTTTGTGCTCAGACCCTCGGTGGGCATGTGGTGGGTGCTACAGTTGCCCAGTTTTTCCTGTTTCCTCAGTACTTGGTTCAACATTCAAATTCCCTGGCTGATAGGTAAATGGCATCGGGGGGAAAAAAAATCAATGATAAAAGGAATCTAACAGCAATGCCACAGGCTGGTGTCTAGAACCTGCTCCAGGGGAAGGTTTTGTTGAGGAGCAGCTCTGAGACTTAATAAACTGAGATTTCACCCCTTAATTATCCCCTGCCAAGCCCCTGCTCAGTGCTGTGAGCAGAGGTGCTGTTAGGAAGCTGTGCTTTACTGTTTTCCCTGAGAATTCGTGGCTAGGAGTGATGGAGGAGAGGAAGTTTGTTGTGGGTGTTTCATTATGTCATACCTCGTCCTCTTTTCAAGCATGGAAGTGCTGCGGAGATAACAGATGTAAGCTTTGTTTCCCTCCTGGTCCTTCACTTCTCAGCTTCCTCTCAGCCTTTGATATCTTAATGAAGTCCTATTTTTAACATCGTGTGTCCAGTGTACTATCTCCTCCTTGTCTGAGTTGCCACAGTAGTTGTAGCTATCTTTCTGAGGCAAGTCAACATCACCAGACAAAACTTCACAGAGTGACTCGGGAGGTGCTGCGGAGTCTGTGTCCACGTTGTGCACTCTCAGGCGTTCTGCCTGAGATGGTTCTGGACTGGGCCTTGGAACAGAAGTACCTCTGTGGTTGGAGCACATCAGGCATGCTCCTGGAGCAAGTCCTTTGGCTTGCTTCACCCAGACAGAACCCTGAGTACACCAGAGCTGGGGGTGTGGGAGGGAATTGGGCAAACTCCTTCAAAACCACACTCCCTGTTCCATTGCAGTCCTGCCATAGATGTACCCTGAGTTGTCCTAGTGCCACTCTCCTTACATTTTGGAAGAGGTGAGGCAAACCTAACTTTCTCTTCACTGAAATCTTAGGATGGAAATATTTTTTTCTTCCTCCTTTGCTTTCTTGGCTCCTTAGAGCAGGACGTGAGGCCTTGGTATGTTCCCTCCTGTGTCTGACTGCTGTTTGAGGGGACTTGGGCCATCTCTTTTCACAGCACCTCATCCCCTTGGGTCTGAGGGGAGCATGGCAGAGCAACCTTGGTAAACTCTACACATCAGTTCAATTATATCTTCCATAATCATTTTTACTTTTGAGACATTTTTGCTGTTTTCTTGCTGAGCAAATAAATTTATTGAGGACTATGAGATACTGGGAGTCATATCATACAGGTTAACGTGTCCTTTCTGAACTCTGGGGCCAGAGATCTCTTTTCAGGATATAAAAAGGTCTGCTTATGGAAATATTTTTGTTTTGCTCTGTTCTTGGTTGTTTGCATTTCTCTTTCTTGTTACTCAAGAGGTCACAGTGTTGTTATTTGCCAGCTAACAGCCCTTCCAGAAATACCAGGGTCACTGGCATCTCAAAACACACGAGCGTGTTGGGGCAAGAATGCTTTAACTGTGTTTATAGAGCACAGCCCTGAGGAACCATGAGTCCATTTGGGGCGTTTGTACGCATGCTGATGCTCTAATTTGTTATCAAAACTCCTGTTAAAATAATTCCCAAACTTTCTGCAGCAAGACACCTTTTTTGGTTTGCCTCAAGGGATGGCTTTGTGGCTGAATTTTGGTGAGAGGCCCTGGAAGATACAGACGTGCTTTTCTCTCTGATTTTGTTGTTTGCTTCGTCATGGTAAAAATGTCGAGGGCATCTTGTGCACTCTGTCACCTGACGAGCCAAAGGGAGTCGCTGGTGGCCTCACAGAGAAGGTCAGCCTTCCAGCACTTGCCCCCTGAAAATCCACCAGTCCACCTCTGGCAGCTGCTGGCCCTTCCTGATAAAGCCTATCAAAGAGCTGCAGCTTGCTGTATTGTCTTTCACGGTCCTCTGGGTTTCTTTTAATATCTGCTTTCCTTCTAAACATTTTTTTAAATAAAGCAAATGGGTTCTGAAAGTCCCTGTTTTGCTCGATACTGAAACCTTTGGCTGAGGCTCTTATTTCTCCATAAATAGCCGAGTGCTTCACGTGGTGGCAGCCCGCGACCCGTGGGATGCTTTTCCCTTGGCAGCCCGTGGGATGCAGCTCTGCCTGGTGACTCGATACTCTGCTGCCACTTCAGCTTGGGCTTACACAGCGTGGGTGTTCCTGAAAGACAAAAATCTTGGGTGAGGTTATGAAGCGATAAGTCCTTGAGGTTTTTCTCCTCTTCCTCCCCTCTGTGGCTGGCTGGGAGCAGACCACGAGTGCACCCCAACAGCAGTGGAGTCCTCTCGGCCCGCCCCACCTTTCTGTCCTTCTCCAGACCTGCACGCAGGGAACCTGAAGCGGTCGTGTGCTTCTGGAAGTTCATAGGTAGATGAAAGATAAGATGAAAGTTTTCCTCAGCTTTTTGAGCCCCGGCGTGCTGGGCAGGGTGTAAATGTCGAAGGCTTGAGCTTGTGCCAGCAGGACAGCTCTGCAGAGCTCGGCCCAAATTCAGCAGCGCTCTGTGGCTCGGCGGAGAGCAGCTTTAGTCTCTGGCTGGTGGTTTTGGGGGGAGTGCAGGAGGATGGAGTGCTTGTGTCTCACCAGCTGCTGGGCAGGTCTTCCTGTTCAACCTCGAGTTTAATCATGTTCAATGAACAGAAATCTTTAGATACTAATATAATTATATTATATTCATTAAACTCGTTTGTGACGTTGTAATCCTGGATTTCATGTGTTCTGATGCTAATCTGACACTCAGGCAACGATTGATAGATAAAAC